TTTTTTTTTTTTTACAGAATATGTACAATTTTTTGTACGATCAGTCAAGTCACTCCTCATCATCTCAATCAACCTCAGAATTTAATTCAGAAAAAATGCGGATGAAAGGATACTCAAGATATTTGAATTCATTGGCAACTACTTCCTGTGACGGTGATCTTGATACTGTATTGAATTATCTTCATACTCTAATGAATGGTAAGATAAAGCAGAAGCTCAAAATCATCCCAGAGAGTCTTAAGTGAGTTTTAATTATCATTATATATTCTCAAAATCATATATATGTTTTGTTTACTGTTTGTTTATATCAATGTGTTAATAACATGACAGATGGGAACTCCTAGCCAATCCCGTTTACGAAGCAATGGCAGGAGATTTCATGAAACCAAGAATAGAAGAGGTAAACAAATACGTAAAGTAAATTTATATAAAAATTAAAGGAAATGCTATGGTCCCGTTACGGAACCATTCCGTCGGGGATTGTAACCGTTAAATCAACTATCTCCGACAGTTACATGATGATCTAATGGTTACAAATCCCGACAGAATGGTTCCGTAACTGGACCGTAGCATCTCCCTAAATTTAATATCAAATAAAGGAAAGTTCCATGGATATATGTATATTCAAAATGCAATCATTTATTTATTTATTTTTTAATTTTTTGATAATGCTATCTTAAGGATTTCAATCATTTAATTTTTACTTATGAAAAGTATTATTTGAAGACGGGGTTTAAATTTGCACATAATTTGCAGGTTAATCAACTTCTAGCACAAGGAGTCAATGTCACCATATATAATGGTCAAGTAAGTGATTCTTTTCAAGAATGCCACTGATATAAATTTCAGGAATAAATAGTAGTGTACTATTAACATATTTATTTATTTATTTATTTGTTTATTTTTTAAAGAACTCATAAAAAGCTTCAATTGATTGGTTCTTTTGCAGTTGGACGTCGCTTGTGCAACCAAGGGAACAGAGGCTTGGGTTCAAAAGCTCAAGTAAGTTGCATAATATCTGACATTCTACTATAATCTATTGAGGAAAGATATCAATATATGTCATCAATTGTGAGAAAAATGTATAATTTTTTAACAAATATTTAGTTAGAAAGTGAAATTTGATAAAAAAAAAAAGAAAACTAGAATATGATTTTTCTGACGGATTAGCTTCACTTATAAATAAACGTACTAGGGTATTCATAGGTTTACGAAGTACTCTATAAGTTTCCATAACTAAGATACGTTTTCACATTCATCTCCACTTTCTCCTTGATGCACCTTAATTTTACTCATTTTCATGCATTATGTTAATTCGTAAAAAGTTGTTAGCATGTCACTTGTGAGTTGTTCCACATTGATTTTATAAATAAAATGAGCCTAGTATATAACTCTGGTCGTGTAACATTAATGTACTGCAAACCACTTACTTAACTTCTATAGAGTCATGTCCTCAATAAGAGAGCCTTGTGACTTGGAAAGAGGCTGATGTGTGTTCATTGGAGTAGAAGTCCCTTTAGAATCTGGCAGACCAATTTTTGGATAAGAGATTTGTTATATATTTATTCTGAGATTGAAATAAACCTTAAGAGTTGTAGGTGAATTCAACGCCAAGAAAATAGTGTAGGACACCCAAGTCTTTGACTGGAAAATCAGAGTTCAACTTATGAATGGGGATATGAGATTCTATAGAAAAGGAGCCTGTGACTATGGTGTCATCCTCATAGGCCATGACTAAAAGAACAAAAGCGTTGGTATGCTTGGAGATTAAACACGGACCATAAAATGTTTTCATTAATTTACAAACCAAATAAGTAGCCTCAAAACCAGAAGATTAAGCCATATATAAGTCAGTGTTAAGGTCTCGATTTCTTTTAAAAAAAAAAAACATTTGTAACATCAAGTTGTCCAAGATTTAAAAAGAGCTATAGAAAGGATCACTCTCATATTTGATGGTTACCACAACATTGAAAGTATCTGTGTAATCAAGACATATGTTTGGGAAAAACCCTTAGCTACAAGTCTGGCTTTGTATTTATCGAGGGATCCATCTAAGAGTATCTTAGTTTTGAACACCCATTTGCAGTCAATAAGTTGGTTTTCTTGATGTAAGGGAGTCAAAGTCCAGGTTTTATTCTTGTGGAGAGCTTGAAGCTCAACTTCCATGAACCTGATTACGAATTGTTGACCTATGATCTCTGGAGCATTTTTAAGTGCATGAATATAAGTAACATTTACAATAGATAAATCTATAATCATTCTGTCATCTAATTGGAGAAGGCTGTCAGTCAGTATGGGAAGATGAATGAGAAGAAGAGTTTGGTGATTTAGGATATGAAGTAATAGAAATATTGGAATGATAGTTATTAGAAAGTGACTGAGGCAGAGGTGGGATGTTAGCTTGGGGAAGAAAGGGGGGTAAA